ACAACAACATCATTCATGTTCTCATCACTACCCACAGCCACAGACCTACACTCCCGAGACGGGCACTGCCCATTCTCCCTGAGCTCTGATGCCACCTCGCAGCTGCTATCCTGAATCTTCTGCTCCAGCGCCTGCATGTCAGCCGTGAGCTGCCGGAACTCCTGGATTCTCTGTGTGCTCTGCTCCACGCTCTCCATCTCTTCCTCCTCATAGTCGATGTATAATTCCCCGCCTCTGCGGGCTCGGGAGAGCAATTCCATCTGGGATGCGTTGCCTGCACTGTAGGAACGCTTCCTCACACCACACGCCTCGTTCTGGGACGCAGCCCTCTGGTTTTTCAGCTGCGAGGCCAATTGCCTTTTCTCTTCTTGCAAGACAGAGATCTTAACCTGGAGCACAGGGATGGTTCTCACCTGCTCCTCAAGCTCTTTCAGACGTTTTAAGGCAATGGCCATCTGCTCCCGGATGTGCTGCAGGTGCATGGGGCTCACGTTGGTCACCGGGGTGGAGATCCCTGAACTCAGTGGGCTGTGCCGGACAGAGCTTCCCATGGAAGAAGTTGTAGGAACTGCTGGGATGTAGCTGCTGTAATCCCCATTGCCTTGGTAGCCATTCTGAAGCTGGTGCATTGCAGAATTGTGGTTACCAGACCCCATAAAGGATGGGAGGGAGCTCGTGGAGCCCATGCCTCCAAAACTGGCCAGCCTGGGCCTTCTGAATTCACCCGGTGCCATCTGCATGGTGACTCTCTCCTGTTCCAGTCTTCTCCGGGTCTCCATCAACGTCTTGGTGACATGGAGGTTGTGCCTGGGGAGTTGTGGGGAGGGAGGGGGCAGCAGCTGTCTATTTTCTGAGATAGCGAAAGTGGGTGAGGTCTCTAGTGGAGCAGGTGGCCGAGGGATTGGGGTGGATGTAATGTGGCTTCTGGCTAGGAGGAAGCTGGGACACTGCTTGCTGTCATCACTGTTGGAGGACGACAGGGACTCAGTGGAAGTCCACACGCCTTGATGACCAGGTATGGCCCTGACTTCTGGACATGGCACAGATGGCTTTCGCCTCTTCTGGATGTTCAGTTTCTTGATAGTATTTCCCTTCTGTATGTCATCCACATATTTGACGAAGTCTAAGTCTAGCTGAAAACCATAAGGGGTTTCCACAAAATACGGATCTTTCTTTTCCTTGTTATGGTCTCCATTCAGAACTCCATCTGCTTTTTCTAAGAGAGAAGAAGACATGACAGCACATGCATTACACATTTGAGTAAGAACAATTATTTATGAGTGTAGCACAAGCCAGTCTGATTTAAGAGTTTTCAGGCCTAGTTTCTGAACCTCACCCCTCTGAATGAAAATGGAGACGCTGCCCATCACAATGACACAAAGTCTGTAATCCTAGCTACTGCAGAAACTGAGGCAGGAGGATTCTATGTTCAAGGCCAATCTGAGCAATTGAGAGAGATCTTATTTCAGCATAAAGTAAACATGGCTGGATAAGGCTCAGGAATAGAGCAATCTATAGTACCAACTACCCCCCCATAGCAAAAGGACAATTTAAGTATTCAACCTATAACATTATGAGACAGTAGTCTTGAGAGCCAAACACAAATTATATTGGTACTAAAATCCCAACAATATGGCCTTGTAGACTCAATGTCCTCTACGGTTCTTTGAAAAGGGAGTTATATCCTATCTAACACAGTGTCTACTAAGTCACAAAATGCACTAAGTCAGCAGATTAAGAGAGTGGGTTACAGCAGAAGAACAGAGCCAGGGATGTCAGCGTGTGTTCATTTTTCTGCAGGTTTGGGAGTCTGTCTTGCCAGTGGCCAAGAGCCATCCAGTGTCTAACTAGCTCCACGTGATTCCATCTTGCTCTGACTCCTTCTTGCTTCCAAGATGGGAGGGAGTCACGGGGGAGAAAGAGACACAGGATAGGAAGTGAGGTTCCCAGTAGCCTATGTAGCAAGAACACAGTAGCAGGATAGACTTTCACCTACTGCTTAGTTTCTCTCCCTACTTAAAACCCTCCCCCAACTGGAGGAAAGTTTTCTCCACTCTGCCCTATTTTGCTTTTTGATATAACATTTACTAACTCACAAATACCTGGTTTTGAAATCATTAGAACCCAGACAAGTCTAAATGGAAGGAAGAGTAAACCAAATTCCAACTTTAGGATCATGGAGTTATTCAGTAAATGCTACTTCTGGCTAAACCAAACATTTCAAAACGGAAACACAGGAACCTTTCAAAGCACAGAACTTGTTGCTGATCTGAGCCATGCATTTCAAATTTAAAAGCAAAGTCGTTTTGTTTGTTTAAATGGTAGGATTAAGTCATATGTTTTCCTAAGCCACACTAAGAAGGCTTGCAATTCTAAGACTATGGAAGGGACTAAAAGCTAGGCATGAAAATGAGAGCCATTTGTCCCCCTGTCCCAGTCCTGGTTATCCCTCCTATTGCCCAGCTCAAGGATATGAAGCAGACTTAGGCTGCTGCCTGCCTTCCGAACACCCAACACTGCTCCAGCATACCGCTGACGCCAAATGCTTGGAATGCTTGCCTTCCCATTTTACTCTTAAAAACTCTGGAAAGTTTAAAAAGACCATCAAACAAGAATAAAAATGAGCACACATTCATTATGTTTCAATTTCAAACAATATTAAGATAAGAATACTTGGCTAGCCGGTGATGTGAGTCCCAGGGTTCAACCATGCCAAACCCAAATAACCCCCAAACTCAAACCACCACAGCCACCATCACCACAACAAAACAGTATTAAAACCGCTTGGAGTATATATTAAGGAATTCTCTTTGAAATAAGCGCCCCAGCATGAGGCCCCAGCATGAGCTGACCCAGAGCGCCAGTGCCTGGAAATTTGAGCTCATGCTAACAGAATGTATCTTCCCCTCTCTCTCCAACTCCACAGGACAGTGAGCTAGCTCAAAATATGCAGCCAGACCTGTTTCCAGAACTGTCTGAAATTCCAAAGGAAGCAAGGAGAAAAGGACGGAGCCCACCAACTGCACCAACTCAGGGTGGAGGGCGGGGCTGAATACTCACAGAGCCGGGATGGGGGTTGGGAGAAGAGCCTTAGGGTCCAGCGTAGAGGTAGCTGAAGCCATCTGCAGGTCACCCTAACCCCCTAAGCACTCGGGCAAGCTCTCTCAGCTCTCCCGCCCCCCAGCCCGAAGGCCAGCCCCTCCCCAGCCCGAAGGCCAGCCCCTGCCCAGCTCACCTACCGCAAGCCCACAACAGGCCAGCCTCCGGCCGCCGCACCCCGGCCCCGGTTCCGCTCCTCTCCACTTAAGGGAACGCCTGTCAACTGGCGCGCACACCTCCCAGGCCCGCAGGGACACCATAGGCCCAGCCTGCACCAATGAGGGCTCCCCGCGTTCCGCCCGCCGTCACCCCGCAAAGCACACTCAGCGGTCCGGCATCCCCCCCC